TTTCTTAAGTATTCTAACAAATATCTTCCGAATACACAACTTAGCTAATTTCACTTATTCCGCCTAATATATTCAACATTAAGAAAACTTTACCAAGTAATAAATAAACATTTTTTGTAAAAATTCAAAGAGATATCGAAAGGCTAATCAGACATCACATTTTCGTCCAACCTAACTTGTAATAAGGTCATAAAAGACAATTCCATGGGATCTCACGTTCTAAAGGGACAGCTTCGCGCAATAGGTTATAAAAATAGTGGTGTAACTGATCTTCATTTGAATTTTCATATGCCAACTCATTTAAGGACCGAGAAACACAAAATTGATTAATGTCGCTACAAGTAGTCACATTAAGCAATATTATAATACACTATCAGACAAACTATCGTTTCTTAATATAAAATTAGCAAAGTTGCAGAAATGTAAGCATAGGATAATCCGAATTGGATCTATTCAGATAGTCCTTAAAAGTCAAAGAAAAAAAAGCCATATACAAATATTTTAAAAATGATCCCCAGTATAATGTTTGATAAAAAAGACGACAGCATTACCGACGAACGAAACATGTCGAGTGGAATGATAAAATCAGAAATAATGAACTAGAATACTTGTAGATCGGATAAATTAAGATCAATACTATTAACACTAATAGTAATAATGTGAAAAATTTCTACATAAGCAATCCCAGTATAAATGAGATATAGGTTAGACCTTCTATGGAGTGCATGTCTCCTTTCTGACCCACAGTGACTCTTAGTAGTTTCGCAATGTTACGCTGCAATGGCCGGGTTCGAGTCCCGTTGAATGTACTGATGAAAACCAGATAAGATCGAAAATTCAGTCCACCCTAAATGATAATATATTTAGGGAAGTAAAGCTAAATGAAATCAAATGATAATGAAAGGCCTACTCATATCATTATTGATGAACTCAGCCATCACTCCTTCACCACATGCGACATAGGGTAGCTAGAACACTTGTTCCAATAGATCTCTGCATGGGAAAGCTACTCATCCCCCTCCTTTTCATTAAATGGGCCAATAGCAATTAAAAAATATACCAAGACGCTCACATAAATGAAAATGCTATGTAATATTCGTTAAATATGCTATTTATATTCCAGATAGTGAAGGAGGAAATAAATGCCGTTTTAAGTGCAATTTAACAATAAAATATAGGGTTCTTAATAAATGGCCTTGCAATATTTGACAGAATCAAAAAATGCAGAACGTATCACACATATCACTTGTATACATGTATAAAGTATATGAAGGGATTGAAGGATAGCTTAAATTCAAGAAAATATTTTTTTGCGGAATCACACGTCACATAGACACAGTAAGCGAAATTCCACGAATAAGTACCAAGAAATCTGCGTAAATTTTTTTAGAATAAAGAATAAGCATAGAATTTTCTGGCAGAACGAAATTTAGTTTTCAACAAAATACTGAGCCATATAATAAATAATGTATTAGATAACTAAATCAGCAAAAAACTAACATTATGCATCAAAGCACGAATATGAAGTGCCGGAAATAAAAAGGGAAGACAAAAAGGAGTACGAACCATGCGCAATTTTGGAGTACGAATTGAGTTTGTTTGATAGGAAAACACTGAAATTATATGTACTTTGGTAATACACTAGTGTTAATCAAGCACTATTGACTAAATTTTGGTGAATTTTTGGTTCAACATTGAGAACTTTATGCAATAAAAGCGTCAATGCAGACTCTTTATTCGTGTTAAAAAGTTTTTCAACTTTATCAACGTCAGTCGAAAACCAGCTTTCACCAACTGATTTTAGCGCAATGTCAGCCTTTGAAAAATAAACAAAAACAAATCTAACCAATTCTTCTGCTTTCTTAAGCTGTCGCTCTCGCTCTTCTTTATAGGTATCAACCTCAACCCTAGCCTCATCCTTAGCTTCTTTCAGCCTCTTGGCTCTTCCTGGTTAATAAAGATAAAAAATCAGAAAAATTGATAAAAATAATATGTCAATCAAAGTCATTTAACATACTTGCTCTGGCTTCTTCTATTTTAGCAGTCGCCGCAGTCTTAGCAACGTTAAGTTGTGCAACTCCATCAAGTTGAGAAGCCGATGCCATTTTCAAAAGAGTTACCAAAATAAACTAAACACTATAACAAGTAATCCCAAAAAAAGAATAAATAGTTTTAAGTAAATACAACTGCTTTAAATATTTTTTTATTGATAAAAGGTATCTAATTTGTTGTTTTAAATAACATGTTCTCATATAAATACAAGACTATTTCCTTTGAATGTATGCTTTGAGTATATCAAGACAAAGATACATAGAAATGTAATAATTACTCTTAATTTTATTTAGACTTGTTAAGTTTAATATTTTGCAAACTAGAAAATCTATCTAATTTAAATAGGATATATTATATTGATATTCCTTACACGGCTATGGTAACCTTAGTTAAAAGGGATAGCAGGAAAAAGGTTGAACAAAAGTAATTTATTCTAAAATGTGTAATTTTGCTATATATTCATGAGAAAGTTGATGAAAAATTTATGCCAGCATTGATGCAACCATAGTGGCTATGCTAGCCACTCTAGCCACTATGATATTAGTTCTTATTAAAGAATATAGTGTTAGCCAATAACTGCTTTATTACTATATTTCAGTGGTTTCAAATGGGTTTATAGAATTACTTTATTTCTTTGCAAATCAAAATCTTTACAAATTGTTTACTTTTCAGCCACCAATTGACATGTTTCTGTGCTCATTTTCATATTTGGCGTAGTACTTTAGGATTCGTATTCATGCAGCAGATTATATTGAATACTAGTCCGACTAAGATC